TTAAAATATTAGAAGGGACTTGGGAGATGAAAGAAATACATGAATTTTAGTGAGTTTGATTTTTTTTAACGATGGCAAATTACCTCTATAGACGTGAGCCTCAAGATTTAGACCGTATTTTAGCATTTGGGTGCGGGACTTGTGTGTTTAAATTGATTACTTTTAAAAAAGAAGTTTCATTTTTTTTATTTTAAAAAAAAGACAACTGGCTTAATCTACAGTATCACAGCACGGAATTTACAGTGGAAGAAGATCAATGAGATTACCGGAAAAGACTTTGTTGATTACAGATATTATCAAAGTGTGAGAAAATTCGTGTACTCTCTACATGGTAGGGCTAACAAATTTGATGTTCACCACTGGCTGTAGCTTTCACCTTTAATTAAGGTTAATATATTATTTGAACCATAAATTTTTAAAAGATACATATTAAATTTTAAATAAATAAAATTAAAATAATTTTACTCTTATTATTAAATTTAAACAAACATAAATTAAATTATAATTTAATGTGTGATTTTTACCAAGTGAGGGAGAAGAGAGAGGGACAGCAAAATTTGATAAAAGTTGCAAATTATGCCCACATTTGATGGACATTTATTCAAATTTAATGGTGAGGTAAAATTACTTTAATTTTAATTGTTTAATATTTAAAATATATTTTTTAAAAATTTAAAATTCAAATCATGCCCTAAATTCATAGTTTAGGATTTAAATTATATATTAATTCTTTAATTAATTTGATAAATATATACACTTTCATGTCCTATTTATGATCCTATTTATAAGACAGAAAAAAAATTTAATCATCCATATCATTATATTTTCATCATAAAAGTTTTCTTTTATTTTTTTATTGAATGTTGAAAAAAATTATTAAAATATGTATTTTTAATGTGGTCAAAGTTAAAAACTTACCAATTTTTTGAATAAAATTAATAAAATTTAAGATTTTTTTAATTCAGTAAAACATGCGCTGATTATAATGGCAAAAGAGTCAATTAATATATAAAAAGAAATGAGCAAAGTGGCTTCGGTCATTGAACATAAGTGCGCAATTAATTAGAATGCCGCCCGCCTGGTGAACATTTTCGGTACGTTTTGAGAATTTCGCGCTGGAACAGCACAGTCAACATTCACCCAAAAATTAGCGGCTAGTGCTAGCAAAAGAAATACTTTCTTCATTTAAAAATATAAAATATTTTTAATTAAATTTTATTTTTAATAAAATAATTATTTATTTTTAAATTAATATTATTTTTTATATTTATTTTTATTAAATATTTTATAATAAATATAAAATTATTTATTAATAAAGACACTTTAAAAAAATAATAATTACATCTTAAAAAATTAAAAATATTTATATTTTTTAACATCTAACTTTTAAAAAAATACCTCACATTTTTTTAACAGAGGGAGTATATATTTATCCTTTTTTATAAAAATTTTTAATTATTTAATTAAAATTAAGAAGAGATAGTTAAATTATTAATATTATAAAAAATATTAATACTTTATAGTGTGTGTTATACTAAGAGCAAATTTGTTTAAGAAAAGTAACCCATAATAAAAGATTGATGGAGTATTAATTAGTTAGATTTGTCCTCAAATGGCTCCGAAATATGAATCGCATTAATTGAGTAATTAAGACATTATAATAATCTCCATGGCGATGTGTTTGACCATTTGACCAGACGGTTTTCTCGAGCAAGAAAGAAGCCTCAGCCAAGCAGGAAAATAGTTACGTTTCATTAACTTTAATTGTTGTGTTATTAGTAATGAGAAATTCTTAAGTAAGACTGATGCACCACATTATTCATAATTCATCAATAAAAAATCTAACATTTGCATGAAATTAAATATAAATTGATTATAATATTAATGATAATAAAGAGATAAAATGTAAGAAATTAAGCAGGCACATTATATTATAAAAATAAAATAATTTAAAATAATAAAATAAGATTTTATTTAATTTAATTTAGGCATTTTTATTGGATGGGTATGAATGACAAGATATCCTATCCGTCTAAAAATTTCTCAATTCCAAACATGAGTGCTTATTAATCACACTTGGATTCTTTCTGACCAGTTTTATCCTTAATTATATTATTTGTTTTTATTATAAGCAAAGACACAGCTTTTTTGCGCATTTGGTCAAATTGGTCATAGCTGGCTGGCTATATCCATACAGAGTAGCTTCTGGATTCTTATCGATAACTGTCAACGCCTTCCTCGTCAGATTTTTCAAGATCTTATCTTCTCGGCGCCCAAACATTCTGTTCTTGAATGCCGGTGAGATGTTTGTGCAGGCAAAAATTTAAAATTTTTCAATCAAAATACTTTTTATTCAAATTTTTTAATTATCTAGAATAGAATTTTTTACTATATAATTTTTGATAGGAAGATCATCCACCATGTCCAATTTTAGGTTGAAACTAGCATATTGGAAGGTCAATCAACCAAAATAACCACAAGCAGCTACAATATTACATGTTTCTTCCTCTTGATCAAATCCGTAACCCTCGTTAGCAGATTCATTGTCTATGATTTCCCTAATCAAATTAGAAGTTTCTTAGGATCTGTGCATAACATTGAATAGGGAGCTGCCGAATACACCAGCTACACCTAACATTTGAAATAGATGCATAAGAACATTATGTTCAACTTGAAATACAATCATAAAGTTAAAAGTATTAGAAATTCTTAGAGACATATCATCAGAAAAGCTTCCTTGACCAATTAAATAAATAAAAAAAACAGTAATAGCAGTTGCAATTGGAGCTGGATATGCAACAGAAATCCAAAAATTGATTTAATTCTTATAATTAAGACAACACGACTACATCAAACGATCGGTATCTAACCTAAAAAAAAAAAAATCTGAACACATTTTTCTGCGCTAAGCTTTGAGATGATTGTGCAATACGTACAATATTTAAATATCTATGAACAATAATTGCCATAGATTTTATTTCTTTCATACTCCTCCTGTCCTATAAGATGGAATTTTTTTAAAATTTTATTTATAAATTTGTTATTAAGTTTTCATCACATCCTTTTACCTTTCATTAATTATTAGAGAGAAAAAAATAAATTGTTAAATAAGGACAAAATTAAAAATTTATTAAATTTTTAAATAGTTAATAAATTTTAAAATTTTTATTAACTTTAGTGAAACATATTAAAAAAATTATAAATAAATACAGACGAGCAGTGAATAAGCACCATATCATATCTTCTTAGACACACAGATTCTGCATTGTTGAGCTTGAGTGTTTAGGATAGCGAAAACCACAACCAAGCATGGATCGATAATTACTACTTAATAGGTCTGTCATCCACGTGCAACTATAACGGAAAATCGAGTCAAATTACTCTTCCAAATGAATATTATATTAACAATTTCGTAATATGATCAAAGGATGAATAGCTGTCTTGTTCGTCAAAACATGCAAGTCACAGGAAAACTGATCCTAAGTTTCAAAACATTTGACGGTTTTCAAGTATATACTTTTCAAAAACAATAATGTCAACTCTGTTCGAAATATAAATAACAAAATAATACAAAAACAATGACAAATGGTTTTATGGCTGGCCATGCCATCCACTACGATGGTGTAAATTCGAAAAAGGGAAAACTGGAATTGAAAATGAGCTAATTAAAAATCGGCAACTGTTTTATTTTCCATGTTCTGCGATCCATTTTTTTTTTTTAAAATGTTTTCCAGTAGGTTCTTAATTCCAAATTTCCTTGGGAAAATCGAAGAAAGAGTTGAAATTTGCCATGTCAACTTTGCCAATCTCTTCTTGATTTTTCCTGATAATATTATTATCAACTTAACAATATAATTTATACAGTAAAAATTAATTCTAACTATCCATACATCTTTAATTATATAAAATTAATTTAAAAAAATTAAATAGATTAATATTTTATTATAACATAATCAATTATAATTAAAATCAACCATATTGATTAATTATTTTCATAATTAATCATGCCCAACTAAAATATAAACGAACTCTTAAACAAAATATGAATTAAACCAAAGACTGAGAGTGACAAAGTTTAAGAACAACTTTAATCTGATTAAAAATTAAAAATTTAAACAATAAAAGTAGAACAAATAATGTAATTCACGTTTTGTAGTTGTGTCACAGTAGGAATCAGTGATGCAACATTGAATTGCAACAGTATCCTAGTCGTGAAAAGTGAAAACAGTATAGTATTTTTAAAAATGGAGATGCAGGATCATAGTGCAGTGAATTAAATTAAACACACTGACACGGTGAATTGATTTCATCTTCCCCAAATGCAGGTAATTGCAGTGGAATCTTTGGCTTATAACAAAATCCCAGTGACTGATGCGACAGCGTAGACGAACAGCGAAGCAGTGAAAAACTCGGGCCGCGTCCACGGAGAGAGGTTGCACCGTTGCTTTTACTTTTTGCATCGATAAATCTTTCGCTTTAATAGGAGAGAACAGCGAAAGTACAGGAAGGATCAGAGAAATGAAGCGAAGATGGGAGAAATAAAGAGAGAAGGTGGCAGAGAGAAGAAGCGGAAGGATAAAAGCAAAGACAGCAGCCTAGGCATGTTCTCCTCTGCCATACACTTAATCCAAATCAAGGAAGCTAAGACTATGACAGTCTCATCTGATAAGATACATCAGGCTCAGTGCCTAGCTGTGTCTATCATGTTATCTTCACCCACCCATGCCTCCCCAAGTAAGCCTTAGCTCGCTGCTCCTGCTCTCCCAGACAGTGCTCAGATATGCTCAGTCCCAAACTCCAAAGCACCCATCTCTCAACCAAATCCCCATTTTCCCCAACCCCACTTTCCCTTTCCAACCAGATGCCACTACCCACCTTCTCTTTCTTTCCAATCCAACCTCAACCTTTACATCATCTAGCGCATAATGTGGACACTTCTATATCAATAACACCTCCCAGTTTGTTTGTTGGTCTATGTTATTATGATAATGATGATGATATAACGATATAGTACTAGTGGCCATTTTAGTAACAGAAATGAGGAAATTTTGAGCACATACTGCAGCTTGGTTGGATTCTTCCTCGGAGATCAACAATACTCGGTTCTAAAAAGAATATGAAGCGAAAACTAGCTGCTCCTACTGATACTGTCTACACTGTTTCCGTTCGAAACTAGAATGCTAATGAACTCAACAGCGACATCAAAGTTTAACCAGACAAGAAACAAAGGAACAGTAACATCTAACTTTCAATTCACAATGGCCGCAAGGTTACTGAGAAGTGCGAGACAAGTACACGATATCAGTATGGCGGCGGTGGCCTTGCAGTTGGAGCCCAGATCACATCGGACGGTAGTTGACAGCTGTACATGGACATCCCACACGAATCGCCGGGCGCGTGACCGCTCTCCCCACCACCTCCGGACACCGGCGGGGACTGCCCCTCTCCGCCGCCGCCCGAGACGGAGTTCCTGACGTCCTCCTCAGCCGGTAACCTGTGATAGGACGGGTTGTTGAAGGAAGCGGCTATGACGAACACAGTTCCCGCCGCCAACAAATTGCCGGCGACCAATCCTCCGACGATCTGACCCTGCGGGCCGGCCAGCGATATGGTGAAGCTGTTGGGGACCGCCGGCAAAGCACCCGATTGCTGGTTGGCCAGAAAGGTGGCAGATATGGATAAGATGTCGAAACGGCCGTGAAAAGTAACGGTAGCCCCCGGGGTGGTGGAGGGCTGGCGGAGGGTGACGTTAGCTACGGTCCCCGATCCCGTTAACACGCAGAGGCCAGTGTTCTTGCGGCGACAGAAGCGAGCAATCGCTTCGACGACGTCCGTCCCGCCGGGGACCTCGAGAATGAAGGAACTCATGGTAGGCTCGGGGTCACGGGTAATGATGACGGGGGGCTTGGGCTTGTTTTTGGAGCCAGGCGGGCGGCCCCTGGGGCGCCTGACGACCTCAATGCTGGAGCCATCGGCGGCAGAGGAGGGCTCGACGGAGAGGGGCTTTTGAGGGTGGTTGGGGGTGTGGGCGGCGGTGGCGCTGCGGGTGTCATCTTCCTCGGAGGTTTGGGGGTCGCGAGAGAGCTGGAAGGGGTGGTGGGGGAAAGGGTGGTGGTGAAGCTTGGAGAACATATTGGGAGTCTCTTGCTTGGCGTGCTGCTCCACATAATCACCTTTCATGGCTGAATCTCTCAATTTTCTATGCAGGTAAGTGTCCAATCCCAAGGGGGGGAATGATTGGGAATGGGGGGATATGGATAGAAGTGAATGAATACGAATAACACTCTGCTAGAAGAGAGACAAGGGAGGGAGAGGGGAGGATGGAAGAGGACGCGTAGAGAAAAGAGAGGAGGCTTTATAGGATTTGTTTAATAGAGGGAGGAAGTCGATGTGCGGTTTAGGAAGGAAGGGTGGGGGGTGGGTGGCCTTGGAAACAAAGTAAAGGCTAATGGCGCCGCTGGACGGAGGAGCGTGGGTCCACAGAGTATGAGAGGTAGATACGTTAGAATGAGACGTGAGTGAGAGAAAAATTAAAAAAAAAAAAAACAACAGGTCAGTAGAGAGAGAGAGAGAGAGAGAGAGTCTGGATGGTGGGGGTGAGCAAGTAGTGAAATACAGAAAATGACAAGGACGGGTTGATGTTCTTGTTTTGGGTTATGGGGGATCCCCTTTTCCTGTTCTCTCTCTCTCTCTAGATCCCACTGCTCCAATACTTTCAAAATCCTTCGCTCACTTTTTTTGACGCCAAGAAATCTTCCCTGGTTTCGGATTTATTTCTTCCTCTTCAATAATTCAACTCCAATCCAATCAATCTTCCTTGTTTGGTTGAGTCCGCTTCCAATCACTTCTCATTCTAGCTAACGCTCCTTACAAGTTCACTCTGATTTGATCTTGAACTCCTCATATTACTCACAAAATTGAATTTTAACATTTTACAGACCACGCTTTGACTCGGCTAAGTTCTCGCCCTGTTCATTCTCGGTTTATTGAACAAGGTCTTATTCTGATTTTTTGACATGTATCTAACACAGATTATTATACTAGCATATGCATAATCCCTGTCTGGATGTTTCGACTCTGGATATGTGTGCGTCTATATATTATATTATAATGGAGAAGCAGCCATGACAAGCTAGTTAATTAAATTAATTAAATAGTAAGAAAGTGATATTTAAACGTCTTAAAATTAGATGTCTTTTTATTGGGAATTCATCAAAGTTGGAAGGACATGTGTCTCTCAAGTTTAAACTGTCAAATATATAAATAATTCTTGGTCAACTGGAACGTTCAGAGTGTGCGAGTTGGATGAGAAAACCTTCCTTAGACTGCACTGCTGTCAAGTTCACCACAGGTAACCCTGTGGCCAAAAAAAATTTAAAAAAAGAAATCACTAAGCATCGGAGTTCATATTAGATTCGAACTAATATTAAAGAAAGGAAGGCGGGGGCTTAAACCCAAAGGAAGTGCTCTACAAATTCAAGCATAATTTATTGCACTTAAATAAAACCCAACCCTTTCTGGTAGAATTAACCAATGATAGTGGTATACTACTATCAACTAGATTTTATTATTATTCAAGTACCATAACAAAAATGACTAATTAGGTCAAGATGAAAGCTAAATATGAAGGGAGGGCCATAATATATGAAATACTGCTTCTGGACAAACATTCTCTACCACCAAGGGATCCATTTGGAAAATATGGAAATTTCTTAATTCTTTTTTTAAAAAAAATAAAAAGCGAAAAAACCGTTTCATCATTTTAAGATTAGACACTTAGCACAAAATTCAATTTTCTAAATTTAAAAAACGCACAGTACAATCCCACAAAATGACAATACAAGTATCAGAATTATAAGACATTTTAAAAAGAAATTTAACATTTAAAATATAAAATATTTTAATAAAAATAAAATTTTTTAATAAATTTTTTAATATTGCCTTTTTTTATATATTTTATTTTTTTATATTATTTAATAAATGAAGTATTAAATGAAAAGTATTTTTAAAATTTTTAAAAAATAGGATTGTAAAATATATTTAATAAAATTTATTAACATTTATAATTTTTTAAAAAATGTCTGATAATTTGATAATTTAAGACGGAGACAGTAGCATATCTGGAGCTGGAATCATTCCTTGCCGCGTTAACTGCTTTCACGAGATGTTATAAATGTGATGTGTAGATAAAGACATTAATAGACTCTTATGATTTTAAATTGAAGTCAATTGATTATGCGCCAAGCATGCAAGGGCAGGACCTCTATTGCCCTGCTTTATTTATTTAATTTATAATTAAGACGATTATCTTTCTTTCCTTTTCCCCGCTTAATGCTCATTCTCAGCCATGCACATCTTAAACGGGTGCACTTGTTGAAGAAAAAAAATATGTTTTTTAAATATGAGGTATTTATAAATTATTTTTAATATGTTTTGCAAGAATAAAAAAACTTAAAATCATTTAATCCTGTATAAGAATTTAAAAAAATTTTATCTTAACTCCTATTAAATATAAATACTTTAATAATGTATACTTACTTTACTATTTGGTGGGAGCAGGACAAAAAATTTATGATCAAATTAATAATATATTTTATGAATAAGACAAGTCAATTACTTTCTTTATGCCTCATAAAATAGGACCGGATGAGTAATTAGTAATATGGTTCAAAATTGCGCGAATAATTCAACGGGAAAACATTGTTATGGGATTAAATAAGATGCAGTTTTCCCCATCAAAAGTCAAACCATTAGTCCACACGAGTCTGTCCAGTTTACTTAATTTTTAGAGGGTACGTAACCCATTTAAAATTAGCAAATTAAAAAATAATTTACTAATTTGGTGCAAGGCGCATGGTCTTTCCACAAAAAGGGGGAAGTTTTAGGACTATTGTGACTAAATGTTCCTTTTGGGGGTTGATGGTAAAAAGACAGACACTGGACGGGAATCAATGTCTTGCCGGGCTCCGAATAAAGACACTGTTACGTCCAATTAAATGTGCAAACAGCGATTGCTTATTCCTGAGAGACGGCGGGTGAGAATGGAACCAAGCTGCATTTTAGTTTATTACAATATTGGGAATGCAAGACTAATTAAAACATTCATGTTTAGCTTAATAATTAAAAATTACTTGCTTTGTTTCTTTTTTAACATTAACTATTAAGGGAGGTTTTTGGTTTATATTTGGCTGTCATTTTGAAATATTAAGACAACGTTGATTATTATATCATCAATTACTATATATCCTTATTTGTGTCCCTAGTTTTAGAAGTCTAAGGTAATATTGAGTATTAAAATAAACTAAGAATACATTAAAAAGGGTAAAAAAAAATTGGGATGAATAACAATTAGGTCCTAAAGAATGAATTAATAACAATTAAGTTCACAATAATTTTTATTAAAAAATAAGTTGATAATATCGATCTAAATTATTATAAATTTAAGAGTTTCAATTGTATTTAAAATTTAAATATAAAATGTAACTCTTAAATTATAATAAAAAATTTTATTTATAACTGTTTTAAATTAATATTTATAATTTATTTTATTAAAAAATTTATCAATAGTTTAACTATCATTAATTTATTTATTTAGGACCAGACCATCATTTCTTCCAAAAAAATTGTGGGTAAAGAAGATGGACGGGCCAGGGGGGAAGTGAGGTCTCTCCACTTCCTTTTTCTCCATTTTCCTCCACTTCCCCCATCCTCACCATTCATTAATTTTTTTATTTAAAAAAATTATTTAATAAAAATTTGAATGGTGGAGATGGGGGAAGTGGAGGGAAAGGGAGAGAAAAAAAAGGAGAGACCCCTGGTCCAGCCGGGGGGATGGTGGGTGGATGCCGTGGAAGGCGGCAAAGGTGGGCTACATGTTGTCACCACACACAGTTTTGGAAAGTTTAACTTTTCTGCAAACTAATTTCTACAAATTATTTACATTATTTTGATAACTTATTTATATGAAGAAAAAGCATGTTAATATTAGAGTTAATAATTTGGACAAGCTAAATTTATTTAGGCCCAACCTGAACTTTTTGAATAGCCTGAATAATCAAATATGGCCCGAACCTCTTTATGTTTCTGGTCATTTGAATGAATCAATTTTTTATTTTTGAAATTAATTATTTTTATTTTATAAAATATATAAAATATATTTTTTAATACCTATAAAAGAGTAAAAAAAATAAAAAATATGTGAATCTTAAAATTTAAAAATTGATGTTAAAATATATTTTAAATATTATTTTGAGATATTTTATAGATTAAAATAATAAAAATATTTTAATTTTTTAAAAAATATAACAATATACTCAAATATATAGCATTTTCATATAAAATGACCCAAAAGTTAAAGAATTTATTAATTTTTAATATATTTTATAATTTTTTTAAAATAATTTTTTATATTTAGGCCAATATCGAATTTGATCAAAATTGATTTAAGCCTGAATATGCTCAAGCATTAAAAAGTACAATTTTGCAAAGTTTGATCCTAATTTTTTTTATATTTATTTAGATTGACCTGTTAAGATTCAAATTATCTATTTTAGTCTATATACCAAAAACAAATATACACGTAGACATGCAGATAAATTTTATTGAAAGCAAAAAAAAAAAAATTCAGAATATACGGGAGAGGAGAATAGCCCCAAAAAGACATTAAAGGAAGGCAAGCCCAACGCGGAAGTGATTGGAAGACAAGGGGGGCTTTGCTATTTATGGCATATGTTCTTTCTTTCAACAAACTCAACTTGGAAAGGACATCAAACAAAGTTGCTGTGTATGCCACTTATGCAAAAGTGATTCCTTTAAGGATAATATATTTAATAAAAATAAATTATTTTTTTATTTTGAGATGACAACAATAAAATAACTAATTTTTTTTTTGATTCATACTACTCCATCTTTAATATAAGATGAAGTTAACAAATTTTATACTTATTAAAAAGAATGTTAGTTATAGTTTCGAAATTGCTAAAAAAGTATTTTGGCAAAAAAAAAAAATTATTACTCTAACTTCATTTTATGTTTAAGACCAAGAAAAACTATTGAACTTTATCTTTACAACGAGGAAGGAAGGAATATGAGACTATTAGGAGTGATTTATATATAAAATTAGAGATTTTTCATATGAAAACCTAATTGACAAATTCCCACAACTGCCCCACCACTGCTCCATGTAATCTTCCCACCAACTCCCCGTCACCTGCATAACAAGGCTCTTTATTATCTTCCCGACGAGTATATACTTCCCTGCCTTCACTTTATCATTGAGTGAATTATTTGCCCAATCTATGTATATCTTAAATTTAAAAAGGTCAGCTTATTTAACTTTCTTAAAAA